ATAATTAATAATGAAATGTTACTAATGTAATCCAATGAAAGTTGGAAAGAGGCAAAATTCCCTATTACAATCACTATTTTTCTTAAAGTTTTTCTTTTTTTCCCCAAAAGAACTTTTTTTGGTCTTATTTTTACTATTTTCTTTTTTGGTACCGGGAATTGAACTCCGGGCCTCACACTTGCTAGGCAGGCACTGCGCCACTGAGCCATATCCCCGGTGCACCATCACTATTGATCTTTTTAAAAAATATATCCCGTGTTCATTAAGATAAAGAAAACTATAATTGTACATATTTGTAACATATTACATGAAGGGAGAGGCAGATTGCATACCACTGAAATTAGACTGAGACTTCAAAAACTCATCAAAAAAAGGTAATTGTTGTCACCTCTAGGAGATAAGATTTTGAAAATTTCTATGTTCTCCAGGTTTGTTTTATCAGAATGTCTACTGTATTTTTCTCCTTAAAGAAAGTATGGTATTGCTGTTAAGTTGAGCTGAGGTGGACTCAGGTCAATAATTTCTGACATTGCCAGTTAAACAGAAGACCCAATGCTATTATGGGCTACTGGACTCTTTTAGAATATTTTGCTGAGTTTACACACCTATAATATTCAATAACGGAACTTAGAAAAAATGGGGTATAACGATGAATGTCCATTTTGTATCTGTGTATTCAAAGTGGTTGGGATAGATATATAGTTGCATTCTCTTAATGAATAGAATGATTTGTTCTAATGGTGTTTGTAAATAGGATCACAAGTCCGCGTCTTGTACAGCAATTAACCACTAAGAAGAATATATGCAGTGTATTATTTGTTGAAACTGTACTTCCGATTTGATTTGAAACTGTCTCATTGCTATCTGTTTATCAATAAAACTTTGAAAAAAAAAGAAAAGAAAAAAAAGAAGAAAGAAAGTACGGTATACTGGGAACTTGATATGAAATGAAATACCTGGGTCCCATAAATATTCATGAACGAACCATCTGTTGTAGAATTTCTGGTAGTTTAGACTTCATATTATTGCATTTGAAATTAAGAAGAAATTTCATTGTATACTGACCTAAGCCAATTTGGGTACATTAGCTTATGGGTTCTTCTCAGGAGAAGTGTTCCCTGTTCCATCAGAGTAGGTTCTAAGGAGTACAAAATTCAGACCAAATCTTTCTATGCAGGCAGGGATTCATTACATATTCATTGAAGCAGGCACAGAACACTTCGTAGGACCCATTCAGTAAGCTTGATCCCACACTCTGTCCTTTTGGGTGTTCCCTGAAGGTTGATTTGAGACAGATATGGCAATGCCCAGGGCAGAAAAATTTGTTTCCATTATCACTGGCATCAGACTGTCACAATTCCTGAACCAGTGACTGGAAATATTAGGGATCAAGGCCCCAGGTGCCATTTCTAAAAGTATAGCCTGCAGGACTCACAAGAACCTAAAACCCTTTCATGAAAAGTAAGAGTATCTCTAAATATTTTAGCTAATCCTTGTATCTTAAATAATTTAAATTCCAGCACTGAGAAACCATTTCCAACATAATACTGATTAGGAAGCTTCTGATTTTGCTGATAAAAACCCATTTCTGACACTCAGCAGAGGCTAATTACCGCAGATCTGATTGTAGCCGTGGGTCACATAAGTCCTCGTGAGGGCCACAGTTGGGGCATGCACACAGCACATCCTCCCTGAAGTGTGCATGTTGGTCAGAAGCAGTGTCACACTGCTTAGGTAAAGGATTTCTACCAAAATACTGATACAACACACTGATTCCAAGAAAGATGTTAGTAACTGATTGGAACAGGGAACTACAGATAAGTATTAAACAATAAAGTTAGAAATATCTGTGAGAACCAATTAATAGAAATGCTGGAGAGCATAGATGACAGAAATGACCATTATGAATCTCTGTGTACAGACTGGATTAAACTAGGAAACAAAACTAATGTGAAAAATAATTAAAGACTTCTTTTTTTTTACCGGGGATTGAACTCAGGTCCTTGTGCTTGCCAGGGAAGCACTTATTCCACTGAGCCATCTCCCCAGCCCCTAAAGACTTCTTCTTGATTTGTTTCTTTATTATTGATCACAGCAGCTTACCCCTCCCATTCAAAAACTGATAATAAAACTCAGAAAATGTAAAAATGCATAATGAGAAAAATAAAAATCTTCCTCAAGTTGTAACTCCCAGCTACAATCATAAGTTAGCATTTAGTAATTCCTGGGCTGGGGAGGTAGCTCAGCAGAATAAGTGCCTGCTGGCAAGCACAAAGTCCTGAGTTTGATCCCTGGTACCGCAAAAAAAAAAAAAAAAAAAAAAAGAAGAAGCAAAAGTAATTCCTTTCCATTGTCTTCCATTTTTCATTTTAAATTAAGTATATCAGTACAATTTAGATATACATAAGGATCATACTCATCATAGGGAACTACACTTGTACATGGTATATTTTGATTCCTTTTTTCCCAAATCTCTTCCTCCCATCAATTCCTCTTTTTCTCCCTGCTTACAAAGCACAATTTACATTATACCTTTTTTGTTTAATCCTTTTTTCCCTTTCTTCCTTTCCCCTTCCCCCTCATGATCCCTATGCCCTTTTCCTTTTCCTATTCATTTGTTGATTTGTTTATTTTTGTACTCTTTATTAACTTTATTGAAAATCAACAATAATTATATAGCAAATCAAAAAATGTAGACAAATATTGAAATGTGAAAGATATAAGATGTAGACAGAGTGAATTTTAGAAAAATATTTCTGAAATGAATACATAACATGAGATTAGTAGTAGACTGCACATTGTAAAAAAATTGTTTACAAACTTAAATGACTATAACAATAAAAAGTGTCTAAAATAAACATGAAGAAGGAAGAGTTTATAGATCAGTCATGTAATAGTTTTCTCTGTGCCAAAAATCAAGAAACTTAATATTCTTATATTTAGAATTCGCAAAGTAGAAAGGGGGTAGGCAATAAATATTTAAAGATTTAAAATTTCTGAATTTAGTTAAAATTATAACACCACATTCCCAAGAAAAATGAACCTTTTACACAAGAAATATAAATAAATTCATACCAAGATACACAAAACTGAAATTGTCCAAAACCAACTGTAGAGGAAAAAATCACCAAACTATATACATAGAAAAAAATTAGCTATGGAAGAACAAAATTAAATAGCATCTTATTCCACATGCAAGAGAAAAAAAAAAAAAAGAACAAGTGGGTAAGAAACTAGACTTATTTATTCAAAAGACTGGGGGAAAAAAAAGATCTGTCCTCACTGAATTTTACACTTAGCAAACATACCTTTGAAAACTAAAAGTAAAATATTTTTCAGTTAAAAATATTCTATACCTCCAGATGCAGCATACAGACAATTACAAAGACCATAATCCAGAAGGCAAGAGAAGTTGGTCCTGGATAAATAATAAAGAGCTCTCAAAATGGTAGTTATGCAGGACTATGTAAAATATAATTATATTAAATGAACCCATTTAAAAGGCCATTGAAGATTTCCAGAAAATAGTATCAATCTTATGTCAGCTTACATACATATTTTTTCATATATATGTGTGTATGTGTGTGTGTGTGTGTCTAAAAAAAAAGGAAGAACTAATATAAAGTCATTGGAAAATGGAAATACACTTTTTTAAAGTTTCAAATACTATGAAAAAGTGTCATACCATGTCTTATAAGTAGATTGTAAGTCAAAGAAACAGTATAAATCATAAAACAAAAATCAAAATTAAACAATATTCAGAAAATTGATTAAATAATAATTAATTCAAAATTAAATTAAATATTTCAAAATAATATTCAAAAATTAAAATTAAATTGTGAGTCCAACTAAGAGGCCAGAATGTAGTATATCATATGTATAAATCTGTGATCAATTCAGCGTACTCACACAGTATTTGATTAGGTTAGTATGTACAAAAATATCAACTAAGAAACAGTTTTCATGATAGTAAAGAATTACTAAGAATAAAACATAACAAAAATACTGGAATGTCAAATATATGAGCAGCACTTCTGTTTGGGGACAGGATATCACACAAAGTTCTAGTATGTAGTGGACATG